AGTGAAGGAGGAGGAGGAAGGTGGAGAGAGAAGGGGGAATTGTCATTGGTCTTGCTGGTGTACATCTTCTTCTTCTTCTTCTTCTTCTTCTTCTTCTTCTTCTTCTTCTTTCTCTCTCCTCTGGTCYYTATCTCTTTGCAAGTGCTTTCATTTCTTTCGCAATTGGGTGGCATTGTCTTTCATTGYGAAYTTGCACTTGGRAAATGACCAGGATCGTAACAATTGGTATCGGAGCGGACTTACTTGCTGGCGAGAGGTGTTAGTCACCCTAAACCTAATTCCGAGTTAGGTTAGGGCTAACCTAATCTCGGATTAGGGTTGGAAGTTAGGGTTAAGTGGGGCACTGAGGTATGTGGATACTACCCCCACCTGGTTAGGTCATGTAGGCTCGACGTTTGACCTGACCAGGTTGACGGAGTGAATGGATGGGGTGGCGAGACACAAAGGAGGCTGATTGGAGTAAGCGAGAGGGAGTAGAGAGTGAGAGGTACTCGCACCTGGAATCTGCACTTCAGGAAGACATTGAGTGACTTTTGGGCTTCCCCTCAAGAGGGAGACTTAATCGGAGGCTGCCATATGTGCATCGAATTGCTGCAAGTTGCTACTTTGGTCTTCAGACATTGACGGGGAATCCGACTTTGCAACAGGGGTGTAGGAAGGCCCTCTTAGTCATGCTAGGACACTTCGTGTAGTGGTAGCTAGGGGTCAGGAGGACTTATGAGAGAGGGGGGTGAGTCGTTATCCATCTTTGGAGGCCGGGCCTCACAGGTAAGTGCCGTGTGACCTGGTTAGCCCGTGGGAGGTTGCTTGGTGCTTCAGGACCTGTTGGGGGTGTGTTGGGCTCTCTTCTTCTTCTCTGCGGTCTTGGCTGTGTGTGTGAGCATGTGGATTGCTTTCTCACCTGATGGATGGATGGATGATGTATCTGTTCTAAATGACATATCTTTCTACGGTGCAATGTCTTTTCATTTCTGAATGGCTGTAGGGGTAAGTTCTTGCTGAAAGTTGTCTTTTCCTTTTCAGTACGGTAGAGGCAGTTTGGGACTGACTTGGTACTCCTACCTCGTTGGTCCTGGTCCACGACCTACTTGGGACCTTCGGGACTCAGTGGGACCAGGCCCAACGGGACAGGACCTTTCGGGCCCAAATTTGTTGTCGCCTGTGCATCTCTTTGTTGCGCTGAACTTGGGGGACATACGGCTAGCAAGGGCATTCCTTTCAAGGGGATCTTGACTGGTCTTACTGCATGTTATCACATACTGCCCCGCGTCTGACTCGGCGACCGTCTGCACCCCTCGAAATCTCATTGTTGCAGTTAGTTTTCTTCGGCTGATTTATTGTGATACATGTCCCTTGTCAGCTAATCTGATCGGGCCCGTTCTATAAGTCAGTCCTCTCTTCCGTTTTATTTATTTTTATTTATTTATTTATTCTTTTATTCTGCTGCGTGCCGTTCTCTAAGTCCAAATGAATCGCCGCTCCGGCTAGGAGTTCTACCTTCCTCTCTGTATGATCTTCTGCTTGTTTCTTTCATCTGAACTATCTATGTCCGGTATTGAAACACATGCGCAGACAGCGGGAAGAGAAAAAAGGGAGAGAGAAGGTGTTTTGTTTGACAGTGTGAGGAGGGGCAAGAGGAGTGTTCGTCCAAACGTGAGGAGAGAGCGGACCCCTTTTGAGAGATCTACTAACACCCCTTCCTCCGGCATGGCAGACATCACATCTGCCCAATGGCAGGCCATGCTGGATGCAGTAGACGAGAACGAGAAACCGTTCTTCCAAAAGCTTTATGATGATGCCGTGCAGAGGGAAATGGAGGCAGAGGCAGCAGCCAGAGCCACCAACATTGCTGATCAGGTGGCCCTCCTTCAGGTCCCGGAAGCGAACGACGACCGGTTTCAGGAGAAGCTAGCTGCTGCCATAGCAGCCTTGGTTCGACTGCGGAACTTAGAAGACCTTGAGTCCCGTGTAACAACACTTGAGCAGCGGAACCAAGAGTTGCAGGCTGAGATAATCAGCCTTAAACAGTCCCAACTGTTTGCCCCCCGCCCTCCTAACCCTCGACCTGTTGCAGTCCCAATCTCTCAATCTAACACAGTCCTCATGGTAATAGCAAGTGGAACTGTGACGAGCGTAGGAACCGGTGCCAGCTCCTCAAGTGGCAGCACCGACAGTTCTGCACTAGTCATAGTCCCAAATGCAGGGACATCAGCCCAAAACGCCACAGTCCTTATTGGCGTACAGTACAGCGGTCCCATAGTGGACAAGCGGGCGGCCTCTTTGCCGTCCAAGTACGACGGGAAAGCGGATATCACCTCTTGGATTAATTCCATGCACTCATACTTCGAGGTCATGCGGACAGCGCAGGAGGACCGAAGCATGATCATGGGCACTAATATTGAGCCCGCCGTACGGAATCACATTGAGCTCAAAGCTGTAGCTGCAGGTTATGAAAGAATTGACCTGACTGAGTGGCTGAAGGTAACCCCTGTACGCGCCCTTCTCATCACACGGTACCAAGATAAGCATGCTGTGCTCAAGGCTAGGTTGAAGCTTGAGGCCCTCAAGGGCCAAACATGAAGGTCTTCCATGCAGGCTTTGGAACAACACTTGACTGGTTTGTTCACCACTCCAGACCTGGGAATGACCGACGTGTCTTGTATGGATGTAGTCATGGGAGTGGCCCCTAAAGAATACCTCTCCCTGCTAGGACTCAAAGACCATACCACTTGGCGAGAGCTCATGACGGATCTAGTCAACCTAGAGGCCAAGGACCTCGCCAGGCGTAAGAAGGCGCCCGCTGCAGGTGGAAAACCACAACGCAAGCGGTTTGGAAGCAGCAACCAGCTTGCCCTGCATGAACATCGGGAGGCTGAAGATCAATCCAACGCGGATGATCTGTCTCTAGATGACGATCTAGAGCCGGACTCCGACATGGGTTGTTCCATATCAGCCATTGAGTCTGACGTAAATGAGGACGAAAAACTTAATGCGCTTAAAAAGACTGCTTCAAACAAGGGGCCTAACCGTGGTTCGGGTAAGGGAACTGTTGTCCACTTCCCCAAGAATGCAAAAATCCGTGAGAAAGCCTTGGGAAGCCCTTTGTATCAGTCAAAAGGAATGGGAAAGAAGATCTAAACTGCGCATATGCTTGCATTGTCAAAAGCCTGGGCATGCTGTGCAGGACTGTTATAGACTTCAGGGAAACAGACAAAGGGCGTAGAGGAGTCATCAACACTCCCTACAACAAGGGAAGCTGGAACATTAGTTGCAGGTCCCTCCGATGAGCCTGAATTTGATCAACAGCCTACTCTTGAAGCCCGGAACGACGTTGAATCCAAGGCTGTTGCAGTCCATGTGTTATACACTGAGCCTTGGGAGGAGTCTAATGAAGTTGACTTCCACGCTCACCTGGAACATTGGCTGCAGCTCAAGCAGCAACACCGTGTTCAAGGGACTGGGGAGCTAACCTTCTTTAAACTGCTCATTAACCGCCGATACATCCGCGTGTTGATCGATAGTGGTTCAACCACTAATTTCTTTTCTCCTAACGGGATTCGTAAGGCGGGCCTGGGAATGAAGCAAGTGGAACTGCAGAACCCTTGTCAGACCCAGGTGGGCAACCAAGAGGTTGTCACCTCTACACATGCTATCAAAGGTGTGCGCGTCACCTTTGACAAAGACCGCACTGTCACACATGAGCTCAACTTTTATGTTATGGACAAGCGTCTGTTCGACGCGGTCATTGGCTTGGGCTGGTTAAAGGCTCATTGCCTAAGGACCACGTGGGCGGACAATCGGTTCGTGGTGCGTGATGCCAAGGGGAACGAGCGTACCGTCTTATTGGATGAGACGCGCGAGTCCCCTATGACTTTTCTAAGTGCAAACAAATTCTGCAAATCAGTGCGCAGGCGCAAGGAAGTTGAGCATGTACATGTAGCTTTTATAAAGCCTCTCCATGTGCCTTCTACTTTTGCTGCATTTTCTACCTCGATAAGTAACTTTACTTCTACCACCTCTACTTCTAATCCATCTACTTCTACTGTGAATAATCCCTCTACTTCTGATCCAAGCACTTCTAATCCGGTTGTAATTGCTGTAAATTCTCAATCTAATCTTCTTTGTCCTGATGAGGATGATCCTCCACCAGAAGTCCCAACAAACATTCGCCAGCTATTAAATCGATTCCCTGAAGTTCTGGCCAAACCTCGTGGAGTTCCCGAGCGTCCGGTCAAATACAAAATCAAAATAATAGAAGGTAGTGTTCCTCCAAAGGGCTGCGTCTACCGTATGGGACAAGGCGAGTTGGAGGAGTTGAGGAGGCAGATTGATGACATGATAGACCGTGAATGGATTAGGCCTAGTAAGTCTGAGTTCGGTGCACCTGTCCTGTTTGTGCCAAAGAAAGGAGGCAAACTCCAGATGTGTATTGACTATCGTGGCCTCAATCGAATCACCCGAAAGAATGTTTATCCTTTGCCTCGCATAGATGATCTGCTAGATGCGGCCGGTGGGTGCAAGGTCTTCTCCAAGATCGACCTCAAGTCTGGTTACCACCAGATTGAAGTTGATCCGAGTGAACAGCACAAAACTGCATTCAAAACACGCTATGGGTTGTACAAATTCATCGTTATGCCCTTCGCCATGAGTGACCGGCCACATTTCAGTGCCTCATGGACAAGGTACTACGCCATCAACTCAACAGGTTTGTGGTTGTGTACCTTGATGATATCCTGATTTTCAGCAAGTCCGTGGAAGAGCATGTCAAGCACCTTGAGGAAGTTTTGCAGGTCCTCAAGGAGGCGTAGCTGCACCTCAACTTGGAGAAATCTGAGTTTCGAAGGGACAACATCATCTATCTTGGGCACCGGTTGTCTGCAAACGACCTTGAGCCGGAGGCAACTAAGGTTGAGGTCATATGAAAGTGGCCTCAACCAGCGAACGTTCGCGAACTGCGTTCTTTTCTTGGTTTGGCCTCATATTACCGGAAGTTTGTGCGCAAATGTTCTGTCATTGCTCACCCACTCTCAAGACTAACAAGCAAGAATGTTGCCTATGCGTGGTGTGAGAAATGTGAGACTGCGTTCCAAGCCTTGAAAGAGGCATTGGTGAGTCATCCTGTGCTCCGCATTGCGGATCCCAACCTCACATTCGTAGTCACTACGGACGTGAGCCAATTTGGGATTGGTGTAGTGCTGCAACAAGATGATGGTGATGGCCTGCGTCCGCTCGAATACTACAGCAAACACATGCCCAGCCACAAGGTAGCTACCTCCACATACATGCGTGAGCTCTACGCCTTGCGCGAGGCGCTCACACATTGAAGGCACTACCTCTTGGGTCGTCACTTCAAGGTCTACTCAGGTCATCAGACCTTGCAGTGGATTAAGACACAAACCAATCTCTCTCCGACGCTGACTCGCTGGTTGCATGACATTGATGTGTACGATTTTGAGTTGAAACATAAGAAAGGTTGTTATAATCGGGTTGCTGATGCATTGTCCCGCCATCCTGAATTCTTGACTTGCCTTGTTGGTTCGTATGACCTCCGAAGGAAACTGAAGGAGGATCTGGTCGAACACACCGCCAAGGATCCGGACCTTAGTCCCATCCTTGGGCAGCTCAAGGCTGACCCTAACAGTCAGCCTGATTTCCATGAATGCGAGGGTCTTGTGTTCCGCCGGTATGGGAAATTTGATCATTTGTGTGTACCTAACCATGCGCCTCTCCGAACTCATTTCTTGGATTTGGCACATGGTCTGAGTGGACATTTCGGCTTTGAGAAGACTTATGGAAGTCTTCTGCAGCAGTTTGATTGGCCAGGAATGAAAGGATCTGCTCAGAAATTTATTGTTGAATGTCAGGTATGCCAAAGAACCAAGGTCCACAGACACAAGTCATGATCATCGTGGACCGTTTTTCCAAATTTCTGAACTTGATTCCTTTCCCTCCCCATGCCCCGACCGAACTTGTCATTGAAGAATTCCATCAGTAGTACATTCTGCAGTTTGGCACCCCGAAAACTATTGTGAGTGATCGGAACACCAGATTCATTAGCAAAGATTGGAAGGACTTCACCTCTCAAATCTATGACATTAAACTGAACAAGACTTCTGGTCGACACCCCGAAGCCAATGGATTGGCTGAGGAGATCAACCAGACTGTCATCCAACTACTTCGCACATTGATTGTTCCAGATCAGAACACGTGAGACAAGGAGTTGCACAAAGTGAAGGGACCGTATAACAACTCCATTCACTCTGCAACTGGTGTAACACCAAACCAGTTGCAATACGGATGGCCGATGCGTAATCCCCTCTCCTATCTGTTCCCTGAACGGTCACCTGGTCTGATGTCCGGCATGCCTGGCTACAATGCCAAGTATGCACGCTTGCTCAAAGCTGTTATTGCAGCCATGAACAAGCGCCAGCATGCCATGATCAAACATGCTAACAAGTTGCGCAAAGAATAAAAATTCAAAGTAGGGGATTATGTTTGGGTCAAAATCTGAGTTTTCTGATGAAGAGGGCATATCACGAAAGCTTCTTCCATTGTACTATGGCCCTTGGCAGATTCTGAAGGTGATTGGGGATGATTTTGGTCCTTCATATGTGATTGACGTGCCGCCTCATCTGCGGACGTATCCGGTTTTTCATGCATCCAAACTGTTCCCACACATTGATGATGAGACTTTTCCCTCCCGAGACCCTATGATACCTCGCTCTATCGACGACAACCATGAGATAGATAGAATCGTTTCTCACGAGGGAAGAGGGAGGAACAGACAGTACAAGGTTCACTTCCTCTATCACCCGTTGACTGAATTCTTCTGGATCGACCGAAAAGAGCTGCTAAAGAATGCTCCCCGTGTTGTGAACGCTTATGAACGACAGATCGTTGAGGGACAGACCGCTAAATTTGTTGCAAAAATGACTCCTCATGGACTTACTAAGTCTCTCTTTCTGATTTACTCCTACGACGCATTTTGTGCCAACTCTGAATGAGTTACTCGCTCGAAGGGACCTCGCTCTTGAGAGGGGCTAGTGTAATGACCCGCCAAAAACACAGACTGAGAACACTGCTGATTTCTGGGATTTGCCGCTGGAATGAATGCCTTGCTGAAATTCCCGCATTCTGCTGTGATTTCCATGTCTGTGTGTGTGTGCATGCCTGCTGGTTTGCATGTCGTCTAAGTGCTTGTCGGTTGACTGTGTGTGTAACCCGCAAGGGTACTTGTTGGTTGCAAGGCCTCGCAAGGCCGGTACTTACCTGTGGCCGTGGCTGTGAAGGGTTGCAGGGGGAAAACACTCGAGTAGCGAGGGTAGGCCCGCGACACTTAGACCAGAGGGGAAAAACAGTCAAGTAGCAGGTAAGCCGGTACCACTGAAGTAGTGGTAGAAGTGTCGGGTACTGGAGGCCGAGCAGAAGAAGACAAAAAGTTGGCATTCTAAGAGGCCCTGTAGCCATAGGTTAGAGGAAGGCCGGTACCAGTCCAAGTAGCCCGGGTCTAGGGCCTGTCTGGAGGTTAGCAGAGCCTGCAATGATGTTTCCCTCCAAAAGGGAGGAGGTACCGGTTGCTGGGAGGCCGCTCGGCCTAGGAAGTCATCGCCCAGGAGGCCAGTAGGTCGCTATATATTTCGGAGGAGCTAGTAGCTCCTCCTCATTTGCGGTATGCAAGGATTGGTGACATGCTGCTGGAGCGCAGCGCTGGACTGGTACAGCGCTGCTTGGAGGTGAAGGGTAGCTGGAGCTCCGCCTGACTATGGCGAGCAGTCCAGCTTGAGGAGGAGGAAGAAGGGGGCATGGTAGGAGAGTGGCGGGGCACTTACCTGGCTATGGTAGACACCATCTTCATCACCTTGTTGGGCGCTGCATCTGGAAGGCCCCAGTTGGGGTAGTGCTGCACCAAGGAAGCTCGAGGCAGAGTCAGGCATGGCGGACCAGTCAGCAGCGGCATAACTGCTTTGGGTTGTCCTTTAGACATCAGCGCAGCACCATAGCTGCTTTGGGTTGTCCTTCGGACGTCAGGGCAAGGCCCTCATTAGTCTGCCATAGCCTATGCTTGAGAGAGGAGGCTGAAGGAGGGAAGCCATATCTATGGTGGACTGGTTGTTGTTGTTGTTGTTGTTGTTGTTGTTGTTGTTGAGTTGAGTCAGCAGTAAGAGGGAACTTCGGATATTGATTCTGGTTCATCCATTCATTGTTATTATTATTATTGAGAGAAGAATAAGATTGGTGAAGAGAAGGAGGAGGACTGTCTCTTATACACATCTAGATGTGTATAAGAGACAGGCAGGGGGAATTGTCATTGGTCTTGCTGGTGTACATCTTCTTCTTCTTCTTCTTCTTCTTCTTCTTCTTTCTCTCTCCTCTGGTCTTTATTTCTGTAAGTGCTTTCATTTCTTTC